TTCTCCAAATTAAGTAAGCAACCCTAAAGAGACCCACCTAGGTTGCCTCACCTATTCGGACATACCCTTTTCGACCAAACACCAAATGGCTTGGCGGGCCCGTGCGCGAAATACGCTTATGTCGGAAAGCGCACGTTAATTCCTAATGTAAGTAAGTAAGTAATGCTGTTAAATGTATACATAAAGACTGGAAAGAATTCGGGAAACAATTTGCGTTTGTTAGCCAAAACCTAGTCAATATATCGCTACTTTTCTTTAACGTTATGTTATTCTTTCGTCATCGTGTGCGCAAACCCGCCGCCTATTCGATGGGGCGGGCTTACAGCCCAGAGGTATTTGTATAGGGTTTTCGCAGTTTTGTTTCAATCCTTGTGCCTTGTACTAAACGTTAGGCCGGGCGTTTGTCCAAGGATTGAGTGGATCACAAAACAGTAGTCTTCCCAACACACTCGACGTCTACAGATGGGATAGACGTCCTGGCGTCCCCGTTCTTGGCGGCTTTAGTAGGACAATTATTGCAGACAATCAAAACGAAATTTCCTGTTTATACGTCTGTGCATAATAGTCTGTTGAAGCTGTGCAACCATGCCTAAAACGTGGACCGTCACATAAATCTGTTTAATTGTATTATACACAGTAGATAGTGGGAAATCTTACTGTTTAAGTGTTACGTAGTGAACAAATGTGAGACAATAAAGAAATTATTGTCTGTTTCTCTAGGTACAAACTCCAAAACATGGGTGTTATTTTCATTATCATTGTGGGTATGCAATACATAACGCCCGGTGTAAGTAAAAGGGTGGTGGGTAGCCTAGTGGTTAAAGCGTTCGCTCGTCACGCCGAAGGCCCGGGTTTGATTCCCACATGGGTACAATGTATGAAGCTCATTTCTGGTGTCACCCGCCTTGATATTTCTGGAATATCATCAGATGCGGCGTGAACCTAACTCACTCATTGGTTTGCAAAAGAAAGAAAAGAAAACACATTTTTTGTCACTGTTATTGGTATTATTCTTGATATTACAAAATATAAAAAAAATTCTTCTAATTCAATGGGGAGCATGGTGCGGGGAATTTTATTAATCATATTCAACATCTTTATTTATACTGTACTCAGCTTGACTTCGAGACATAACATTCCACATGGTATTTGATGTATCGATGTGGGTTTTTTTCCGCAAGGAATTCAATATGGTATTCAGCATAATTTTGAACATTGCATTCAATATGATTTTCGATATGGTATTACTTACGGTATTACTTGAGGTATTCGTTATATTACTTCAAGTTTTCAACAGGGAACTCGGCGATTTTATACACAACATCGTGTTACAGGCAAATTAAACCACCGCGATCTATCGCACGTCATAGAGCATGAGGGGACGGTCGGGTAGCCTAGTGGTTAAAGCGTTCGCTCGTCACGCCGAAGACCCGGGTTCGATTCCCGACATGGGTACAATGTGTGAAGCCCATTTCTGGTGTCCCCCGCCGTGATATTGCTGGAATGTTGCTAAAAGCGGGGTAAAATCATACCCACTCTCACTCACTCACTCACTCATAGGGCATTATATATATCAACATGAATTTAGATATTGCATATAATATTGCATCCATAATGGATTTTAGACAGGCTATTAGAGTAAAATATAGTCCCAAAATAAAGTTATGTATAAGGGTCAAATAAACTAATTCTATGCAGGAACCATTAGGTTTCTGCTTAATTTTAGAACTTAAAGATGCGGTGAACAAGGCGATGAGAGTGAATAGCAGGCGCGTTTTGTCATATATGTTCTGGGGTCTGTAGGAGAGATTGGCATGGCATGTATCGTGGCATTTAACATGATATCCAACACTAATTACAGTATTTGAGATATGATGGTATTTATTATGAGTTTGGGCCACAATATTAAATATTGTACCAGACATGGTTTTCATGGTATTGCTTGGAATATTCGGAATTTGACATGTAACTTAGCAACCTGTTCAATTTAAAATTCACTGCAGTATTACACACGCGTGTTGCGTGTGAGGTATATATTAATTCAACAAGGACGAAGGAACTCAAAGTGATGTATCACAGTTTGATATTCCACATGAATTTTAGACCCTTTTTTTTTTAATACGGCATTCAACGTTTTTTTTTGCCATGGTATTTAGAAAGGTATTTTTAACTTTGTGCCTAGCTACGACATGTGTTTTGTTGAGAACAGAGTTATTAACCCCCCACCTCCTCTCCCTCCACCCAACCGCCTCCCCCTCCCCCCTGCGAGGTCTGGTCTGGGAGGGGATTGCCTGTATAAATCACTAATGCGTCACCACCTTTAGAAAATAATTAAAATTTATATCCAGTTGTCACGGAGGTTTGTAAATTGAGAAGTCTCCTGATGATAGTTCTGTCTGTGGGCCTCGTGAGGACATGGTGTTACATTCATAGACTTCACTCCCCCCAGACCTGCGTCCCCTCGCGCTCGACCCCTACCCCGCCGCTCATTAATAAGTATAATTACTGCCCGTGCTGGATGCCTATAGAAGCTGCAACAACGAAAACTCGCTGCAAGGGACGACGGAGGTTGCGGGTTTGAGGTTTGGGGTATTCGCAACGCTGCTAGCTACAGCCTCTATTCAACCAAGGCAAATACCAGGGCAATAGCTGTGTAGAGTACAGATGGGAATCCGTAGTTCACAAGTTGTAATAATGTTGAAATCACATGACAGTCAACTACAGGACGCGAGGTCAACACGCGAGGCCGAAATGTCAACAGTTTCATTCATAAATAGACACGGGATTGCCGCGTGTGCTCTGGCTGAAGAAGTGAGCTGCAGAGACAACATGGATGCCTCGCGATCACATTACAGGGTTTACATGAAATATTATAAATTATTTAACGTCATTTACTCGAGGAGGACGTATATCTGTGTCACCGATCTGATTATCTTCGCATTCCAGGCCAGGTGTCATATATAGACGGGTAGAACGGCGTGGTTGGATGTTATATATAGTTACCTAGGTAGAAAGGCACCCGTCTAAAATAGCGGAAACAAGTTTCAGATTTAGGGCTTCTTATTCGATTGAAGGTATTCATTTAGCCACGATGTGAACTGTGTTTAATAAGGCGATAGATTTAAACAGGTGCGTGTTTTTACTCGGGGAACCCACTCTGCGAGGAGGCTGCGTGCCTCGGTAGAGCGCCCGCCAGTTCGCCACCGTGGACTAGCGTTCGAGGGGATTGTTTCCACTGGGTCGGCCCGGTGAATACAAATTATATGGCATATCAACGATTTGCTACATATCATTTTTATGAAGTTATGTTTTGCCAGTGTTCATCGTGCGTGACGCGGGGACGTTACATAGATTTGTGAGTTGGAGTCAAACCTTTCAGAGCGAACACTCTTAAAGAGAACTGTGCTCTCATTTTCATACTCGAGTGGCCAGATGCAAATAGACAGTGGTATGTGTCAAGTTATGATTTACACTTAACATGTAATGGCCGTGTGTGTGTGTTATATGGCCGGTATGATCTGTGTGAATGTTAGAACTAGTAGGCGGCCAAAGCCCCGCATACCACACGGAAGGGACGGGAGTTTAAGTCGGCGTGAAAGCACACAACTTTCAATACAGGTCAATTTAAACTTGAAAGAAATCCTTCACGTTGAGGCTTACACTGTCAGATAGGTGAAAAAAGTTGAATAATAAGACTTGTAAACTATGTCAATCGTGTTTGGGGCGCGCTGAGGCACTAACATATTACTGGCTTGTCCCGGGGCGGCGATCAGAGAACGCTTGATTATTGAGGGGGACAGGGCGGATGATTAAGTATTAAATGTGGGGAGAGAAAGAAGGGCTTGCGACATTTGCATGGGGAAGGAGAAATTTTGATTCTATTTTCATTTTCATTATTGATGTTGGATGATTATACGCCAGCCTGTCAGGCCTGGTTGTTTCTCGGAGTTATATTGGATATATACGCATATACCCGCCTTAGCTATGCACCCACTATCACTTAAAATACTAGTAAATCTACCAGCGCCTTCTGCAACATTTATCTCATATTTACAACTGTTGTGTCTTATCAATACAGTATCTACATTATTAAAGTGTACACTGCAGCCTGCTCGTGATATACATGTATATAAATGTTTATACACTATGAATGAAAATAATATGTAATATCTCCATATATAATGTATACCTCTCATGTTTATAGTTATATTTATTCCCATATGTAGATAGTTTGTACCCTGTCCTACAAGGGTGTTTTGTACAAAAAAAAATTGATCTTGATCTTATTTCATTTACAAAATGTTTATGCACAGAAAATGTGCATCTCTTTACTAGGCCATAATAGCAATATTTGTATTCCTTTGTAATATCAATATTATAAACTTTCTGTTATAACTAGTCATGTTCATGTTTTGTACCCTGGCCCCTGTGGGTGTTTATGTACACTAAATCTTCTTCTTCTTATTGCTATTATTAGGCGACATTATCCTTCATTACGTGTCAGTAATGTGTGTTTAAACACGGTACTGATGTTAAGTACTATTCTATAAGGTGTCCGTGTTTATTAAACCACCAGCAGGACGGTCGACCCCGTTAGCTGTCGCTCGAGATTGTGTGGCCTGCGCTTTCTTTGTTGAGCCCGTTATGATATGTGTAAGCAAACAATATCAACTTGTAACGGTATTAGATAATGTTCGGTCATAATATATTCATTGTGAGACATTCAAGCCCTCGAGCCGAAATTCACAGGCACTATTCTACCTTTTTGACAGTCATTCCCCCCCCCCCCCTCCCCCCCCCGCCTTCACTCCCTCCTCTGTACACAGCGTGTGGAATGTCACAAATTTCAAGAACATGATTTATAAACAAAATAATGTCCAAAGTATGATTTTGATAACATAATAGCGTGAAATATAATGAATGTATGAATGTATTGTGGCTTCTAGCCCTAGTTCCTACCGTTATATACGTTATGGTTATACAAAAAAGGTGCTACTTACATCCCAGTTTGCAGCACGAATCCTGGGTTTGAATCTGGCATAGGCGAACCCTTGATTTCCTGCGTCGGTGGTGAGGCGTCACGGAGCTCCTGTCTGAAAGGAGCAGGTTGCGGGAGGCGAGCTATATAGCCCTGTTGCTGCCGAGAATTATAAGTTTGTGTTGGGTTATATAATTGTCGTGGCTGACTTTGTCTGACTGGGGTTTGTTGTGGCTGACTTTGTCTGACTGGGGTTTGTCTTGGCTGAGTTTGTCTGACTGGGGTTTGTCTTGGCTGAGTTTGTCTGACCGGAAGTCTTACAGGCCTTTGTCTTGGCATGGTTTGTCTTGTCGGGGGTTTTAAGGGGTTGTACTTGTAAGTTGGTCTTTGCCGACCATCCTGTTGCTGCTGCTGCTGCTGTTGTTGTTGCTGACGGCGTGCGTCAGCTTGACGATTCCTCGACCCTAATCTTTGTTTATATCTATAATCTTGACGTTGCCGAGCTAACTGTCGTTGCCGGAGTTGTCTCTGGCGTTCTAAATGTTGCCTAGCTCGTGAGTTATACGTCATCCTCCGTCTGTCGGAGTTCTGTCTGGCTCTTGTGTCTGTCCGGACCCGCTGGTGGTCCGTCACACGGATCTTGTTTTGTTCGATCTCTGCTCGCTTCTCAGCTCCCTCGGATAAGACAATGCAGGTGACACAAGCCACGATCAGGAAGATCACAGACAGGTATCGCCCCTCCATGGCCGGGGCAAATCTGTTTCACTCCACAAAATAAACTTTGAGACGCTCACAAACTCACGCGCGCTTCCTCGACTCCGAAATACCCCGGTACTCCCGATTTCGGAGGAGGGTCACGTAAAATGAGCACCTATCGCTCGAAGCTTATAACACGGGTATATCCCACACGACTTCCTAAGAAGGTACGCTGATCTAACTTTCCACTGTATCACGACAGCTTTCACAGCGTCTTGACAGACGGAACGCTTATCCGATACACATAATGGACGTTGATAGACAGAGCGACCTACACCTCCTTCTTCTCTCACTCTCTCCACAGCTGAGAGTAGGACCTAAATGACGGTACGTTCACAACGCGCGCCGCCACATCGAGGCTTGCCACTAGAGTTCAAAGGCTAGAGCTGTCATGCGCAACTGTTTTGTCGCTCCCAGTTGAACGCTCGCTTATGCAGCTAAATAATAAGCACCTACTTGTTTCTCACTTGCCTGTAGTTCTCGGACCGGACTGGATGATCCCGCTGCACCTCAACCTGCAGGCTGCTGAAGGCAGAGACGGTATGCACGCATGTATCCTTTCATTGTTAAAAAAAAACTTGTATACATACTCCGCCGGTTCTCTCGTTCCAGGCTGGTATAAACGTGGAATCTAATTCATGTACTTGTTGTTGTACTTGTGTCTGTACTTGGCAGTGTTCCGCGTGAACTTGATTAGTTTACAGGGCTAGTTTAGAGATTTCCCCCGCGTGGACATCGCTGATTTTATTAGTGAAGTGTATAAGTTTATGATTGAAACAAAAAAACTACGTTAATCAGTTCATAGATAAAATCGCGCGGCTGACAATTATCAAACCGATTTTATTATATTTGTATTCTATAAATTGGAGCATAAAATTTCTTCAAAGAGTTCATTGTGATAATGTAGAAAACTTTCACAGTGATAATGTATTAAATTTGGGGTAAAAAGGCGTTGTCTGACGTCGGCCACGGCGATGCCGTCAACTGCGGTCCAAGACAGGCACTGCGGGGATTCTGTGCCCATAATTCATAGAGCGTCATAGAGCATCATTTAGCATCAATGAACTTGATGTCTATAAATGGTCGATTGTACACCTTTATATTGATAACTTGTAAATACAAAAGCTTCAAGTGGAACGAAGACAACGTTTGAAGTACATCGAGGACAATATCGCCCCCGGCTCGAGGCTATATGGGACGGTGACGGAGCTAGAATGGCGGGACTCAGGCAATTTAACCTGTTCACCTGGAACGTCGTTATTCCGCCATGGTTTAGTTTCATAGGATCCACGCCACCGCCTGGGATAGTTAGATTCATCTGACACTTTTATGTAAACCTAGCGAACCATCCGCTCCTCTCTCTTGTTAAAGGCGCACTTCAGCTCAACTCATGCGCAATAATACTTGAGGAGGTGGTCGGCGGTCGAGTGACAGCCGCGGAGTCATGCCATTTTAAAACATGGTGTCGATAAAGATTGAAGGTAATCGTCGATATATATCGAGTTAAAAATAAGTCGAGTTATTAGGTGCATCGGGCGCGTGGGCAGCCGGAATGCGCTTTATTGACTCTCGTCGATTTAAACCCCAGTCATGTCCACAGAATCGAGAAATAATGAAGGCCGTCATGCCTCGCAGTATAGCTTCACGTGCACAGTTGGACAATATGCATGTGCACGACCACGCAGAAGCAAGGCACCCATGTGAAAACATGGGGAACGACACTGTCTACATTAAGAAATATTTCATACACCAACGCACAGTGCTACGTAGACTAACATTTAGTCTATGAAATCTTCTTACAAACAATACTCTTCTGTCCTCTGTACAACACAGACAGTCCGGTACAGCGTGTATACAAAAGTGTTGGGGTCTCTGTACAACACAGACATTCCGGTACAGCGTGTATACAAAAGTGTTGGGGTCTCTGTACAACACAGACATTCCGGTACAGCGTGTATACAACAGTGTAAGGGCCTCTGTACAACACAGACAGTCCGGTACAGCGTGTATACAACAGTGTAAGGGCCTCTGTACAACACTGACAGTCCGATACAGCGTGTATACAACATTGTAGGGGTCTATGTACCAGACAGTCTGATACAGCGTGTATACAACAGTGTAGGGGTCTCTGTACAACACTGACAGTCCGGTACAGCGTGTATACAACAGTGTAGGGGTCTCTGTACAACACAGACAGTCCGGTACAGCGTGTATAAACAGTGTAGGGGTCTATGTAAAACACAGACAGTCCGGTACAGCGTGTATACAACAGTGTAGGGGTCTCTGTACAACACAGACAGTCCGGTACAGCGTGTATACAACAGTGTAGGGGACTCTGTAAAACACAGACAGTCCGGTACAGCGTGTATACAACAGTGCAGGGGTCCACGTACAACACAGACAGTCCGGTACAGCGTGTATACAACATTGTAGGGGTCTATGTACAAGACAGTCTGATACAGCGTGTATACAACAGTGTAGGGGTCTCTGTACAACACAGACAGGCTGTATACAACAGAGTAGGGGCTTCTGTACAACATGTACAGTGGGAACTTATTTAGCAATCTGTGACGTCACAATGCACGAGATTGATGCACTATGAGTGATATAACGCAAGCAGGAGAGGTAAGGTATGGACTTTACATTACCGACTGGGTGCTGTCTGCCGTCAACGTCACACGGAGCACGTGCTGCAGCGATTTCTAAAAGGGTTTAACAAACTGTCAGGAATTCTGTGAAAAGATGCCGGTACTCCCAGGCCGCAGACAGCACCGGAACTGCAATGCAGAAGGGTCATCACGTTATTTGTATTGCACGTATATAGATTTGTATTAGTGTACGGCGTCGCTGTCACCGTTGCTTGTAACATCAACGTGGAATGGATCCTGAACATGTCAATATGTCGTGTAGATGTTGCCGCCAGTGAACATGTTGATACAGTCGTCGCGCTGACGCCCAGTTACAGCGACTAAACCTTTCAAACTGCACAAAAACATTATTCTGTCACTATTATAAGGTAATTAAATACAGCTACATCTTCAGAACAAAATGTGATACAGTTTTAATAGAAACATCAATTTCAAACGGGTTCAAGTACGGAAGGGGCGGTACTTAAAATGTTGCATTGCATTTTTAATGGTGCTGATGAAATATGATGTATAACATGTGGGTGTGTGTGAGAACCGAGACCCGAGACCCCTTCATACAGCAGGACAGAGTCACTATTCATAAGCAATATGATGAATTACATGCGGGAGAGTGGGAGACCCGAGACCCGAGACCCCTTAATACAGCAGGACAGAGTCACTATTCAAAAGCAATATGATGAATTACATGCGGGAGAGTGGGAGACCCGAGAACCCTTCATACAGCAGGACAGAGTCACGCTTCAATAGTAATATGATGGATTAAACGCGGGAGAGTGGGAGACCCGAGACCCGAGACCCGAGACCCCTTCATACAGCAGGACAGAGTCACTCTTCAAAAGCAATATGATGGATTACATGCGGGAGAGTGGGAGACCCGAGACCCGAGACCCCTTCATACAGCACGACAGAGTCACTCTTCAACAGCAATATGATGCATAACACGCGGGAGAGTGGGAGACCCGAGACCCGAGACCCCTTCATACAGCAGGACAGAGTCACTCTTCAACAGCAATATGATGGATTACACGCTGGAGAGTGTGAGACCCGAGACCCGAGACCCGAGACCCGAGACCCCTTCATACAGCACGACAGAGTCACTCTTCAACAGCAATATGATGGATAACATGCTGGAGAGTGTGAGACCCGAGACCCGAGACCCCTTCATACAGCAGGACAGAGTCACTCTTCAACAGCAGTATGATGGATTACACGCGGGAGAGTGGGAGAGTCGAGACCCGAGACCCAAGACCCCTTCATACAGCACGACATAGTCACGCTTCAACAGCAATATGATGGATAACATGCTGGAGAGTGTGAGACCCGAGACCCGAGACCCGAGACCCCTTCATACACCAGGACAGAGTCACTCTTCAACAGAAACACTTGAGGGGTGTCTCATTGACATAGTTCGGTTTTGCCGAAAATCAATCATAATGTCACGTTACTACACATTTCCCAACTGACACAATATTCAAGGCTTGTTTCCGACACGGCCTCTCTCAGGGCGGAACAGGCTTCTTTGAAGTCTGTGTCTCACACTCATCCCCCCGTCATCTGCACCCACCCCATTCGCCCGCTGCTTCTCCTGCGACGTTGGTAACTGCGGAAGGTGCTGCCGGTCTGAGAACTGCCGGAATGTAGCCGAACACCGTATAGTGTGTGCTCACAGAGTCATGTAAAGCTCGTAGAGAAAATTGATCGTTTGTTATTAGTCGTTAGGAAAATACCGGCGTTGTAGTGGCGGTTTAAGGTATTACAAAGAGGTATATTAAAGTCAAATACCCCCGATCGATCTTTAATAATCCATGAAAAGCCGCATTGTTCGTTCCTTCGATTGACTTAATGGGATTTTTGTGCATGGTTCGTTACACGTACAATTCGTCGTCCCAGACAGGTGGATATGGTCAGCCCAAACTGCGATCAGACGCTTGTTGTAATTGCTTACAAAAGCACCGGAGATTTATTGTGCAATATTATCGATACTTAATTGTTGAGTGTAACTGGAAACAAACATTATCGAACTGAAAAAAACAGTTTCGTTTTTATGTCAATATGGTATGATGGCGTTTGGCAGAGCGACGCAATGGTTATATGCGTGGATGTATTTATTCTTTGGTTTTATCACAAACAAAGTAAAATGTAAATATTTCTTGTGGAAATATGAACAGATTTATTGATACGGTGATTACCGCGCTATTACCGGCTCCGTGTGGCACCGTGCACCTGCAGGGATACGGCAGTTAAGCCATTCCCTCTAAAGCCAATCTACGGCTGTAAACAATCAGTTGGTGCCGAAGTTAAAAGAGACGTTTGAAGGGTTGGTTGCTTGGTTTGTTGTTTAACGCCGCACTCAGCAATATTCCAGCTATATGACGGCGGTCTGTAAACAATCGAGTCTGGACAAGACAATCCTGTAATCAATACCATGAGCATCGATCCACGCAATTGGGATGGATGACATGCATCAACCAAGTGAGCGAGCCTGACCACCCGATCCTGTTATTCGCCCCTTACGACAAGCATAGTTGCCTTTTACGGCAAGCATGGGTTGCTGAAGACCTATTCTTCCCCGGAATCTTCACGTTGGAAGGGATGCAGTGATAGTTATAGGGCGTATGAGCTAGTCCAACGCAATGTAAAAACAAGCAACGTTTCTCTCTACTTTCTTTAATATACCAACTTTCATTATAGCCAACTTTGGCTTGTCAATAAACCAGCACTGTGTTCACACAAGGCCCC